TTTTTGTTAATGTTTTAAAAACTATTAGTACTCATTTTTTCAGTGAGGCCCTATATGTATTAATGGAGGCGATTTGGCTTCAGAAGCCAAGAGGAAAAAAATAGTACTAATAATTTGTCTTGGAGTCATTCTTCTCTTCAGTATGACAAATAAAATACATGGATGGTACTGAGAAAAATACGTAGCTTGTATTTGCACTTTGTTGGATGACCTGCTTTAACTTTCTTGTACTTAACAGCTTATGAGTAATGTGGTCAACCTAAGTTCAGGCTAGAAAACTGTTGTTCCCACCACATACCATCTATATATTCTATACACAGGGTATGTATACAGGATATATTATTCATAATTCTGGATATATTATTCTGAAAGAGTTTGGTGTGTATTTGTAGCTCTAACTTTGGAATTCTAGAAGATGTTAAATGATTAGTTATCAGTACTTTCTTGGCATGAGGAAAACAATGTGTCACCCTGTATCTAAATGTTGTAGCACTGAGAGCTGATATTAATTTGAATAATAACGTTAAAGATGCATAAACTGTATGTTCACTGGCTGCTGGGGGGAAAGGCTGGCCTGGCCCTGATCCAGCTGCACGGGGGTTGGAGGGAGGCCAGGCCGGGCTAGCCCCAATCCAGGTGTGGGGCACCAGGAGTCGGTTGTTGAATCGGGTGTGATGTGAATTGTGAAGAGGGGGCAATCCAGTGGAACACAAGGTATAAGCTATATTGCAGAGGGAGTGACTGGGACCTAATGAGAACAGAAATCAAACAAATACTGTTGTCTTTCACACTGAGAAGCAAAGGTTTTTTGGGGGAGGGTGTTACTGGACCAAGTGTATGTTTGGGAGAGCTGTTAAACAAAGTGCCTTTCCTCAGGTATACAAAAGGAACAGAGAGAGCCTGAGCTAAATACCAGATAAAGTGATGACTTTTTGTCTAGTTCCATTATATAAATGAAAGCAGTCATGTAAAGTGGCAAAAGACTGTAAAAATCACAACAATCCCCAGTCTAACAATTCATTCATATTTTTTTTTCTTACTGTAAAGTGCCCCAGTGTTTTTATTGTGGAAGGGAAAGGGATTGAAGAGGCGGTTCCTTTTTCTTCTCACTTCTGTTGTCACAAACTGAAACACTTCCCTGTGATAGCTCTGATGGTAATGTTGCAATCCTTTTGGGGGATGAGAGGGTATGAGCATTGAAGGTGAGGAAGATTAAGTAGTTGCTACCTGCAGTTCCATCATATGTTGTAGGTACTAACTCTCCCTCCTTTGAAGCTCAGTGGTAAGGGAGTGTACCTGTCTAGAAGAACAGGCTGAGAATTGAAATGTGTTAGATAGGGCATCAGAACATCACTTCTTGAAGCTCTCCTCTGCCAAGCTTAGGTTGAATCAATGAATCATAGCAACGTGCTAGACTGTTACTTGGAATTCCCTATACACCTTTAGAGAATATTGCTCTCTTAATGAGCATGCCTAATGCTTATTTTGGGAAGACTGTTCTGCAGTCCTTGGCATTAAATAAGCCTCAGCTCACCTTGTGAGGGTCATCGTGTTTGCCCAACTCCCCAAAAATATGACTTGCTTGAAAAAGACTTGACTACTTCAAGAACTTGGGCTCCTTGCAAGTAATGTCTGTCTCTGCCTTTTGACAGAGTTGTTCTTTGGACTCCGGACTTTGGAGGAAAGAACTGAGGTTTTGTGGTGATGTCTCTCTGGCCCTCTGATGTCTGGGCTATGAAATGTTTGTTATTGTGAAAGGGTGCTTGTACCATCCCAAAGGACCTCCAGTTTGTCCCAAGATCCTTGGCATGCTGGGGGAAGCACGTGCAACATGTATGAGTACATAGAAGCAGAACTTAAAGCCAGACTTAGTCTTCTTTCCTTCTTGCTGCTGCTGACTTCTAGTTCTCAAAACTTTGCTTTCCTGGAGTACTGTCTTTTTTTAAGGCAGTTACCTTGCTCCTTCCTGAGATGGAGAAAGGTTAAAATTCTACACAGCAATAAAATGGGGGAGAAATTATATGGTAAGCTATAGCATAGTTTTTGTATGGTTCATTTTTCAAAAGGTTGTGATAATATTAAGGATCATGTACCTAATTCTATCTGATAGAAATAAGGTTACAAACTTCTGAATAATTTGTCATATATAAAAGCCTTCTCTCTAAACCTTTAGCCTAAATTAGGGTATTGAGGAGTGAAAAAAAAATTGTTTGATAAAGACTAAGAGGCTGAGCTTCCAGAAATGTGGGGATTCAGGAGGAGGGCAGGGCTTCTCCTTCAAACAAGTTTAACTTTTGAGTTGCTGCATTCATTTTGATTGGTAATTAAGAACTGTTCATGGCAGAAACAAGTAACAGAATTTAAAGATACAGCATTTGAAATGATTTTTTGTTTGTTTGTTCAGACGATCAATCTGTCTCCAATCTATTTACTATATATATACTGGAATACAGTATGACGGTCCCCCTGCCCCCAACAACATGGCGGGAAGCCTCCTAAATTTGAGTACTGGCCTGGGGCAGGCAGCAGCTCCACTTTTTGGCTTTGGCCCTTCGTTCTGTGCATCATGGGGTGAATGAAGAAGATGTTAGTTACTTCCCCCACTTTACCCCCTCCTTCCACCCCTCTGCCCCTGCCCTCCCCAACACTTGCCTTCTGCTCTGGCTCCAGCCCTGATCCAGCTACGCCCAGCTGCTGCCACTTCTGTCTGCCATGGAGCTAAAGTAGAGCAGCAGCAGGTTGGTGGTGGTGCAGAAGGTAGAGAGGGGACAGGCATTGGTGGAGTAGGCAGGTGGTAGGGAAGGAAATAGGGAGTGGGTAGGGCAGGCACAAGCATGGTAGGGTTGGGGACATGCAGCAGGGGTACAGGCACTTGTTTCATAGTTAGTTTCTAGGGTCAGAAGGGACCTGGGCAGATCATCTAGTCCGACCCCCTGCCATGGCAGGAAAGAGTACTGGGGGTCAAATGACCCCAGCCAGATGGTCATCTAACCTCCTCTTAAAAACCCCCAGGGTGGGAGCCTGTACCACCTCACTTGGAAGCTGGTTCCAGACCCTAACCGCCCTGACTGTGAAGTAGCGCCTCCTGATGTCCAACTTAAACCTTCCCTCCGCCAGCTTGTGACTGATATTTTGGTCACTCCTGGCAGCGCCCGGGGGAACAGGGACTCCCCCAGTGCCTGTTGATTCCCCCTGACTAGTTTATAGCAGGCCACAAGATCCCCCCTCAGCCTTCTCTTCTGGAGGCTGAACAGGTTCAGGTCCCGTAACCTTTCCTCATAAGACCTTCCCTGCTGTCCCTTGATCATGCGAGTGGCCCTTCTCTGGACCCTCTCGATGCTGTCCACATCCCTTTTAAAGTGCGGCTCCCAGAACTGGACGCAGTACTCCAGCTGCGGCCTGACCAGTGCCGCGTAGAGGGGGAGGATCACCTCCTTGGTCCTGCTTGAAATGCATCTGTGGATGCACGACAAGGTACAGTTGGCCTTCCTAGCCGCCTCCCCACACTGCCGAGCCATGTTCATCTTGGAGTCAATAAT